ACTAAGAGCAGTAGATAGGCTTACCAGAGGACTTGCCATAGTGAGATGGAGTCCAATAGATAGTAGACGTGAAACTCGACGACTGCGAATGGGAGCAGAGAGTCACTACACACGGACAGATTTTGAAGATGCATTAGTTTTATGTTGGCAAATTGTTGCTTACACATTCCGTAAGGAACGGTTTTCCTACCAATGGGACATTATACTATTCCTGATGTATGGAGGTTTTCATTCTCGTGGAAAACTGAAGTCACCGCGCAAGCCATTGGGCTACGGGGCTATAGCAACCAGTCCACCTTTGTTATAATCAGTACAAGATGCCTGCCAAAAGTTACTATGAACACCCACCATTTACGCTGCATTTGATATCTTGTTCATTCTTTCATGAAAAAAATTTGCATAACTTCCGCCCCCTTCCCCTCAACAATGTTGATGATTTAGAGAAATATCAATAAAGAAGCGCAAAAGAAAGTGCTTCCATAAATCACTAGTCGTTTTGAATAGTAAACCAACATTGTTTCCGTGGGGGAGAGGGGGATGATTGGTTTTGACTTGGAAATTGATGTCAGTGTTCCAGACTTTTGGCAGGCATCTGTAGGTCGTAGAAAGTTGTTGGAAGTTTAACTTCAACGCAACTTTGGCACGTTTACCTTACTCTTACTAAAGGATCCTAAGTAGGAGCAGTTTTCCAACCCTTTTTTGCTCGTTTCTGGCTTTTGTCTTGTTTAATGATATGTTGTATTTTGTAACTTGGTTAGCTTGGTGTTTAATTATCTGAAACAGACTGTTTATGAATAATAAGCTAGAATAAGCAAGTATTTTAAAAAAGGAACGTTTTTCGGCGTTCTTAAGGACTGGCGTAAAAAATGTTTGGTCACACCTTTTTCAGCCCCCCCCCATTTTTAGATTGGTGCGCGGTGCCTGCCTCTGGATGCGTTTACAGATTGCTCCCCTTTCGAATTCATCCAGATGTCTCCACTAGAAATGCTTTCATTGCTGTATCAAAAGTAGCCAATGATCTTGCAGGGCCTTTTTTAACAAAATAAACTCATTGGCGAATTCCCATTGGCAAATGTTTTAGCTGAGGTATGTTACACGAAATTCTGGATATAATTAAAACTTTCTTTGAACAACATTTAGAGCCCAAACATAGATTTGCCACAAAAATCTTGTATTTACATTGGTTTTCTCGTTTTTATTACCCGTGGTGTTCAAGTCATGGATAGAACAATAAATTTGAGAAATTGATACGGGAATATGACATGAGCATTGATCACTTAAGATAAATCCTTGCACCCCGGTCACCCCAAATGTTTCATTGCAATCAATCCTCTTTTACATGGTTGAATGACTTAAATTTTGACAAGTAGTATAGATACTTCGATGAACTGCCTTCAACCTAGATGCCAATCAGTCTTAAGCCTGACTTCAGGAAATCTCGTTTGCCATTATCGATTCACAACATCAGTTAATTGCATGCAAAGTAATACCAATAAACCAACCAAGAAAATATCTTATATGATAAAATAACTACATTCATCTTTTCACATTCATTCTTTAGCTAACTAATCACATTAGGGAGAACGGAAATGTAGGTACAGGGCACTGTGCCCCCACCCCCCAGTAAGTCCCTCTTTAGCTTGAATTATTGCAGTCTTAAATGTTTTCTACATCTCTGAGCAAGACATGCATACAGCCATCACATATTTGCCTCCAATCAAATCAAATCGGATTGATTTGAAAACAATTTACATTCCAACTGTACTAAATCAGTTATAGCACAACGAAGGGGCAAGGCAACTGCAATCCTATTCAACAGTCAGAAATTTGTATGAGCAACTATGCAAGACGACAGTATCATTAGCCAACGACATAGCGTATTTCAGATACGTTTTAAAAGAGGGCATTCTACGGCATTTCCAAAGACGTGGCTTAGAAACATCTTTACCCAGACCCCTTGGCTAGGCACGATCAAATCGCCCTTGCTTCCACGACGTATCATACTGACTAAGTTACTATTTAACAAATTAAACATAGTTCAAGGGCAGTTAAGCTAGGATTAATGTTCCCTTTGCTCTCGGTAGAATTTCTGCCTGTTCCCTTATTCTATCGAAAAAATTACCTAGTTTCCTAAAGTTCTGTTGAGATAAAATCGTCGATTTGAAAAATATCGATATTTCATCCCTTTTTTATTGAGGTAGAGGAATACTAAAATGCAAAAAATTGGGAATCGGCTGTTCTGCTAAGCACAATATAATGTAGCTTACTAACAACGTTATACGAATGAAAAATAAGGAGTTACATAAGTCTGGATTTTCCCTGATCTTGGAAAAGATCCTGTGTACGTTCAAATGTTCCCTTGATTCTCTTCACCCCGCCTATCACGAGGCCTAACGGATGTAGTGTATTTGACGATGCATTTTCCCTACCTTTGCGAATACACATTTTTGAGAATGACAGAACTGGGATGCCCCTTTCCAATGCCCATACAAGATCTGAATTTTATTATTCTATCTGTAATCAGGGACCTGGGAAGCGGGGGGCCATAATAGCACTCTAAATATAAATCCAACAATATAAAATCAAACACTGCCTTCAAGAATTACGAAGCATCTTGATCCACTCAGGATAAACGATACGTTGATCATACGGCTTGGTCAAAGACTTTCATGAATATACAAACATTTCAACTGCATATGATCTGCAATTTTTATCCAAGACAGCACAAAAAAATCGATGTAAACCAAAGAACTAGAGATTCATTTACATATTCTAATAAACTAATTATCATACAGATGGTTAATTTTTCTAGACTTTAAATTCACAACACAAAAGCTTTATACACTCGAAAAATTCTTAAAGTTCAACGGTCTTTTGAAGAGTCGGAAAATTCTTTACTTGATGCTAAAAGTTGCAGCTGCTTTCGTGGCCCATTTAACCTAAAATGGAGGGAAATAAGGTATAGCTATGACTTTATATGAGCGAAAAGTAGAAAGGCAGGAAAAAGAAGAAGCAGAAGAAATAGAAAAGAACGGAAAAAGGAGAAATAGAAGTAAAAGAACAAGAATAGAAGAAGAAGGAAAAAAGATGAGAAAGAAGAACAAGAAGCAGAAAAAGAAGCAGAAAAAGAAGCAGAAAAGGATCAAGAATCAGAAGAAAAATGAAGAAGAAGAACAAACAGAAGAAGAATAAAAAGATGATAAAGAAGAAAACAGAAAAGAAGAAGAAACAGAAGAGGAACGAGAATAGAAGAAGAAGAAAACAGAAGAATAAAAGGGGAAGAAAAAGAGGAAGAGAACTGAAGAAGAAACAGAAGAAGAATAAAACGAAGATAAAGAAGAAAACGGAAAAGAAGAAGAAACAAGAGAAATGAGAATAGAAGAAGAAAACAGAAGAAGAAGCAGATACCGAAGAAGAAACAGAAGGAGATGAAGCAAAAAGCAAAAAAGGAGAAGATATGAGGAATTCAAAGAAAGAAAAGTTATTCTAGTTTGTTTCTGAGGAACTGGCAAATTTGAGAATTATGACGATAACTTACTTTGCTTTTTGCCGAACAGTGTTGTAAACACTAGATGTCTCTTGCTGGACTTTTTCTTGGTATTCCTCAAATCTCCTTCTAATGAAACTAAAGAAAATATCATGGATATTTATGAGAAACTATAACAAGCCTGAAACAAATACCAAAGCATTGCACACATATTTTTCTTTAAATTCTCTCAAAAATGTAAAGACAAGACACATACTTTATTTGAAAGTAATGTGCAATGGCACCCGCAGCCATGATGGCCAGAGCAGCAGAAATGATGTATTTGTTTGCAGAGCTGCGTTCTCCTCTATATTTCTC